TCTTTTCTAAATGGAAAAAAGGATTAATAATTATTATTTTAAACATATGCTAGGTATACCTCTCTTAAATGCTGATCTCTAAGACTCTCTAACACCTGTCATTCTAGAACACAGTCAGCAGATGTCACAGCTAGATCTTCCGGGCCATTGAGAACGTGAAGGCCAGCCCACCCCTGAGACCTGACTGAACCAGCCTCAACCTTACAATGAAGGTTATTCCATCCCTAACAGCATTGAAGGACAGATTTTGTCTGTCTGAAACAATGAAAGAATAACCACAGGCTCACAGTTGCCAATTTTTTACCAACGACTTTGGCTTGACCAAACTTTAATTGGGTTTTTACCCATAAATCCCAAATGTTGCCTTTCATGCAAGCACTCAGAGGCACACTGTCTTCCTGAACAGCTCAACTGCAAAATCAGCTGAATATAGAGAAAAATATTTCCTGTTGAAGAGATCTGATTTTGCCACCTGTCTACTATCCATTTACCCTTCTCCATAACAAAGCTTCTGCAAGTCCTGCTTATCCCACCCTACTAAAGAAAAGCTCTATCTAGTTAATTTTGGATGCACACAGGTTAATAAAACCAGAACATTCTCTGTATTTCAATAAGCCTTTTGATTAGTTTCTTTTTTCTTTTTGTTTTTTCTGAGACAGAGTTTTGCTCTTGTTGCCCAGGCTGGAGTGCAATGGCGCAATCTCCGCTCACCGCAACCTCCACCTCCTGGGTTCAAGTGAATCTCCTGCCTCAGCCACCCGAGTAGCTGGGATTACAAGCATGCGCCACCACACTTGGCTGATTTTGTATTTTTAGTAGAGATGGGGTTTCTCCATGTTGTTCAGGCTGGTCTCAAACTCCCGACCTCAGGTGATCTGCCCGCCTCGGCCTCCCAAAATGCTGGGATTACAGGCCTGAGCCACCTTGCCCGGCCTAGTTTCTTTTTATCTAAGTCTGGATTTCCTTTTTTTTAAGAGACAGGGTCTCTCTGTGTTGCCCAGGTTAGATTTGGACTCCTGGGCTCAAGCAACTCTCCCACCTCGCCCTCCTGAAGAGTCGCAAGTCCAGTCGGAGGCCATCGCTCCCAGCGTGGATTTGTATTTATTTGACCACAGGGTCATCTGACGACCACAGGGTCATCTGACGCCCACAGGCGAGGGTGTCAGATAAACTCCCTTGCTCAGGCACTGTCTAGACATGATGACATATACCATGATGCTCTTGCTGCCCATCCCCAAGGCAGCAGGTGACAGCACTGGGTGGGGGCTATAATTACCAAGCCCAGCAGGGGAGGCAGCAGCCAGACTGGTGCACGGGTGGACATGGTCTCTTTGAGAACCGCCATGTCGCCCACACAACCCCCCCACCCCCTCCCTACTGAAATTCACAATGGAGCCAGCGCCCTCACCATGGCCAGCTCCTTCCACTGCCACCCAGGCGCCCTCCCAGGCTCCTGCTGCCCTTCTCCACTCAGTCCCTCTGGTGGTCAGTGCCAGCATGTAGATTGGTGGCATAAACCTGCATTGTTGCAGGGGTGCCTGGGGTCTGTATCAAGAGAGCTTGATCCCTGGAGGCAGCCACAGGGGGGTCCCCCCTCTCCTTAGTCCTGCCATGACCCATCAATCATCCCGGATGCAGTGGCATTTAGCCCTGCCTGGGGTGACAGAGCCTCCCTGTACCCCTGCCCCCACCTCCCTACCCTCTCCCTAGAAGGGCATCTGCTGTGCCCCCTCCTCCTCCAGGGCCCCTCCCAGCTTTTCAGTCTATCGCCATAATATGGCCAATGCTCTGCAGATTTTCAAGCCCCTCAGCAGCGGCTGCTGCAGGAAATAGGGGGTGCAGCTCTTTGCTCTCTGTCTAGCACTTACTCTCTGACCACAAAAGCCCCTGTTCCAAGGACATGGGAGGAGGACAAGGCCATCCTTAGTGACATTCAGGATGCAGAGCCATGGTGTGGTTCTTGTTTCATTTCAGTTTTGGGAGGTCATCAGTGATGAGCATGGGATCGACCCCACAGGCAGTTACCATGGAGACAGTGACTTGCAGCTGGAGAGAATCAACGTGTACTACAATGAGGCTGCTGGTGAGTAGCAGGATGTGTGTGCCCAGGAATCCTTGTTTTCCGTGATGTGGGAGATGAAATGTCCTAGGAACATGCACGTGACAAAGGCATGCTTCTTGCATATGCATTTCAAATGCCAACTGCTGGAAAAACACGCTTTATGGTTTCCTAAGAGTCCTGCCTGTTTGCCACAGTTAAGCAAGCTCAGGACCTCCTTTTTCTTAAAAGCAGAAAATCTCCTGTTTTCCTTTTGTCTCAGATGCTGGAATTGAATGCTGCTGTGAGTCCATCCCTAAGTACAGGTCTGAGTCAGTTCTCATTCCCCACAGGTAACAAATACATACCTCGGGCCATCCTAGTGGATCTGGAGCCTGGAATTAGGGACTCCATCAGGTCTGGACTATTCAGCCAGATCTTCAGGCCAGACAACTTCGTGTTTGGTATGTAGTCATGATCACTGGGAACTGGCCAAATGACACCTTCTTCCTAACAGCCCTGCAAAGCACAGTTCTTAGTGTTCAGTGCCGAGGTGACACTGTGCCCACAACAGCCCTGAATCCTGGCCTAGCTCCACACAATCCATGGGCGGTCATGGCTCACAGATCAACGCCAGCCTGCAGAGGGCTGCCGCAGCCCTTCCGTTGCAGAGCAGCCTCAGACTGGAAGGAAGAAAGGGCAAGGAAAAGCTTCAAGCCAGGCTTCATAGGCTATAGGCAACTTCAAAGGACTTCAAAGAGTCAGGGGCCAAAAGCACAGGTTATGACCGGAGCTAGACAGATGCTGAGGCCACCTTCTCTCCTGGTCACACTGCCTTCACCTTGCCTGTTTAATTGTACTTGAGTATAAAGAGAATGCCTGCTAAAAATGTATGTATTTCAGAACCAATTAAGTTTTCTAACCCTATCCTCTTCCTCAATCAATGGCCTCAGATTTGCTAAACTTCTAACTTTATTATGATCCCGAGTGTTTTTGAGAGTTACTGACATACAAAAACATTTCCGGCCAGGTGAGGTGGCTCACGCCTGTAATCCCAGCACTTTGGGAGGCCAAGGTGGGTAAATCACCTGAGGTCAGGAGTTTGGGACCAGACAGCCCAACATGGTGAAACCTTGTCTCTACTAACAATATAAAAATTAGCTGGGCATGGTCACAGGTGCCTGTAATCCCAGCTACTAGGGAGGCTGAGGCAGGAGAATTGCCTGAACCTGGGAGGCAGAGGTTGCAGTAAGCCAAGATTGCAATGCTGCACTCCAGCCTGGAGGACAGAGCGTGACTCCATCTCAAAAAAAAACAAAAAAGAAAAAGAAAAATATTTCTTTAGGTAAAAGAAGAGTATTCAAAAGAGAAGAATCTGCCAGTCTAAGACCAGTCCTACCTTCTCCTCTGTAGTCAAAATGACATGTTTTAGGCAGGCCAGAGCGGAGCTGGGAATAACTGGGCCAGAGGGAGCTGAGCTAGTCGACTCAGTCCTGGACGTGGTGAGGAAGGAGTCAGAGAGCTGTGACTGTCTCCAGGGCTTCCAGCCGACCCACTCTCTGGGGGGCGGCACGGGGTCCGGGATGGGCACCCTGCTCATCAGCAAGATCCGGGAAGAGTACCCAGACCGCATCATGAACACCTTCAGCGTCATGCCCTCACCCAAGGTGTCAGACACGGTGGTGGAGCCCTACAACGCCACCCTCTCTGTCCATCAGCTGGTGGAAAACACAGATGAAACCTACTCCATTGATAACGAAGCCCTGTACGACATCTGCTTCCGCACCCTGAAGCTGACCACCCCCACCTACGGGGACCTCAACCACCTGGTGTCGGCCACCATGAGCGGGGTCACCACCTGCCTGCGCTTCCTGGGCCAGCTGAACGCAGACCTGCGCAAGCTGGCGGTGAACATGGTGCCCTTCCCGCTTCTGCACTTCTTCATGCCCGGCTTCGCGCCCCTCACCAGCCGGGGCAGCCAGCAGTACCGCGCGCTCACGGTGCCCGAGCTCACCCAGCAGATGACATGCCCTTGCCTAGCATCCATACACTAAGAGGAGAGGGGCGGGGAAAGTGAAATGTTTTGCAGCAGCTGCACAAAGAACCAGGACAGCTTCCTGTGAGTCACCAGTGTGACGAGGCTCTCCTGTGGTGACATAATCAGACCTGCATCTTCCCAGCCTTCAAACAAGAACTAAATGAGTGAGAACATCTTTGGCCTTTGCATTCAGTTCTGAATCCAGTGCCTCTCTAGATTACAAAGTATTTAAAATCCTGCTTCATGGTGGGTCCAGAGAGGGACTGGAAATGCTTAGCTAGTGAGGAGAGCACTGCTGCAGTATGGAAATGACAGGAATCTGAACGGCAGCTGCAGAAGACAGACGTATCAGCTAAGGGGACACAGCAGGACCAGTCGCTGAAGGCCACTGTCAGTAGATACAAGGACTTTCCCATCGACCTTCTTTGTAGCAGACACTGTTGGACCCACTCTGTGCCTTTGGCCATGGTTTTTCTCAGACCTGCCGATGGCTTCTTACTGAAAAAAACTGTGACCTGCCCCAGAGCTCATTTGTGCAGCAAGGAGGCCCCATTTACTGACAGACTGGAGGCTAACTAGCGAGTTCCCGTCCCCTCAGGTGGGGCAGCGCAGAGTGCAGTTCTGCCTTGTCTCTGACAGATGCCCCTGGGTTGAACCCTTGCCACCTGCAGCAGTAACCTGTTCTGAGGCAGCCCCTTGGCTTCCTTCTCCTTCTTGGCTCTGTTCCCTACAGCACTTCCAGTGCTTCCCAGGACAGACACTGCCCTCATCAACTTCCACTCAGATCCTAGCCTCAGGGTGTGCTTTGGGGCACCTGACCTACATCACTCATCAAAGAAGAAATCGTGTACTAGTTTGCTATTGTAACAGGTTACCACAAAGTCAGCAGCTTAACACACCACCTCACAGTTTCCGTTGGTCTGGTCGGGAGTGCAGCAGGGCTGGGAGGGCTGCACTCATCGGGAGCTCAGGGGCCTCTCCCATGCTTGTTCACATGCTCAGCAGGGTCCAGGTCGTCAGGGTCATAGGCTGAGGTTCCTGTTTTCTTGCTGGCCTTTGACCAGAGGCTGCTTCCCGCTCCTAAGGGCTGCCTTCTGTTCCCTGCCACACGGCCCTCTCCGTAGCAGGCTAGCTGATCCGTCAAGGTCATCAGGAAAGGGTCTCTACTGCTTCCAAACTCGAATATCCTTTCTGTCAAAGTGTGGAGAAATCCTCTTCTTCAGAAGGGCTCATGTAATTAGGGGAGGCCAATGAGATCATCTCTCTATCTGAAGGTCTTGGAAACTTAACTGCATCTGGAAAATCCTGTCACAGCAGTACCTAGATTTATGCTTGATTGAACAACCGGAAAAAGGTGAGTGTTGTAAAACAAAAATAAAATTCTAAGGCCCCCCAGCCATCTGAATGGAACCCTCCTCTCAGCCGAGGTCATTCAAAGTTAACCTGAAAAACTAATTCAGGCAATTCCCTCCTCCCTTTTGGAATTGCTGATAGAACAGACTCTCAAGTCTGATGAGAAATATTTACAATCTATCCTCTCTGAAGCCAGCTACCTGAAGGCTTCATCTGCATGATAAAACCTTGGTCTCCACAACCCCTTATCATAACCCAGGCATTCCTTTCTATTGATAACTCTTTCAACCAATTGTCAGAAAACCTTTGAATCTATCTATGACTTGGAAGCCCCCCTCCCTCCAGTTGTCCTGCCCTTCTAGACCAAACCAGTGTATATGTTATATGTATTGATTGATGCCTTGTGTGTCCCTAAAATGTATAAAAGCAAACTGGACCCTGACCACCTTGGGTACATGTTCTCAAGGCCTCCTGAGGACAGTATCATGGGCCATTAGTCACTCATGTTTGGCTCAGAATAAACCTCTTCGAATATTTTACAGAGTTTGACTCATTTTACCAACAGTATATACCATGAGCCCGGTGAATCTTGGGCCACCTTAGAGTCCTGCCTGCCCCAGAGTGGAAACAGCACAGCCTCTGGAACAAGATGAACCTGTGTTCCTAAAGTAAGTTATGTTTTTTACTTCCTAGTTATATGGCCTTGGGCAAGGATTTTAATCTCTCTGAGCCATAACTTCTTTGTCCAAAAAACGGTGATCATGGTGGCCACTTCAGAAGGGTATTATGAGGATTAAATGAAATGCACATGTAAATTACTCGTCACATGTGTGTGCAATAACTAGCTCTGTAGGAGCACCTTGTCAAGGGAGGTGTTCAAGGATAGGCTATATAACTTCCTGTCAGGGATTCTGCAAAGATAAACCATGATAATTTTGGAATATCTTTTAATTTTTTTTTTTTTTTTTTTCCGAGACTGAGTCTCGCTGTGTCAGGCGGGAGAGAAGTGGCGTGAACTCGGCTCACTGCAAGCTCCGCCTCCCGGGTTCCCGCCATTCTCCTGACTCAGCCTCCCAAGTAGCTGGGACTACAGGTGCCCGCCACCATGCCAGGCTAATTTTTTGTATTTTTAGTGGAGACAGGGTTTCAATGTGTTAGCCAGGATGGTCTCGATCTCCTGACCGCATGATCCACCCGCCTCGCCCTTCCAAAGTGCTGGGATTACAGGTGTAACTCACTGCACCCAGCCGGAATATCTTTTAATTTTTAAATCTATAATCTTTAGGTTCTTTACAACCAGGAAAAGTCTGTGGCTCCATGTAAACATTCTTGAAAGAGCTTTTCGTCGGAAAAAGGGCTTCATTGATTGGTATTCAAGTATTTCCTTGGGGCCAGGTGCAGCGGCTCACACCTGTAATCCCAGCACTTTGGGAGACTGAGGCAGGAGGATCACTTGAGCTCAAGAGTTTGAGACTGGCCTGGCAACATAGTGAGTAAAATGTTCTTGTATTGGTTCGAACCCCGAGAGTGCGCCAACAGAGAACACGAGGCGGTTTGGAGCCACACACTGTTTTAATGAGTGCCTGGGGGCAGGCAGGCTGAGGCCTAAAATGTCCTCAGCACCAAATGAGGACAGGGCAGGGGTTTTATAGTCTCTTGTAAACAAGAATTGCGTCAGTCTGATGTAACTGCTCCGTGGTACCCGGATAGCCTCTCTCGGTCTACCGGGGATACGTGTCTTCCAGCCAGCTCTCGTCCTGCTTCTACTATCTTGCTGACACACACTCTGGCACAACGGGCCTGGCACCTTGGGACTGGGCCTGGGAAGGGAGGAGTTATTCATTCCTTTAAGTTTTCAGGCCTTGGGGAGAACCTTTCAGTGAGATCTCCTCTCCACAAAAACTAAAAATGAAAGTATTGGCCCATTGTGGTGGCTTGCATCTATAATCCCAGGTACTTGGGAGGCTGAGGCAGGAGGATCACTTGAGCCCAGGAGTTCAAATTTGCAGTAATCCATGATCATGCCACCACGCTCCTTCCTGGATAACAGAGCAGGGCACTGTCTCTTAAAAAAAAAAATTATAGGCCGAGCGCAGTGGCTCATGCCTGTAATCCCACCACTTTGGGAGGCCAAGGTGGGTGGATCATCTGAGGTCAGGAGTTCAAGACCAGCCTGGCCAATATGGTGAAACCCCGTCTCTACTAAAAATACAAAATTAGCCAGGTATGGTGGTGCATGCCTGTAATCCCAGCTACTCAGGAGGCTGAGGCAGGAGAATCGCTTGAACCCAGGAGGTGGAGGTTGCAGTGAGTCGAGATCAAGCCATCGCCCTCTAGCCTGGGCAACAAGAGTGAAACTCTGTCTTTAAAAAAAAAAAAAAAAAGTGTGTCCTTAGAGTACAGAATTTAAGGAGGTGGAGCCTGTTTGCCCAGTATGGTGGGAGGAAAGTGAGAGGTACAAAAGAACTCTAAATCAAAGAAAATGACCAAGGTGAGTCTCAGTCATTTTAGGGGTTTATTTTGCCAAGGTTGAAGACACACTTGGCGGGGGGGACAAAGAACACAAAACTACGGGAACCTCTGTGATCTGTGCTTTTTCCAAAAAGGGTCTGGAGACGTCAATATTGAAAGGAGAAAGAGTGGCAGTGGGGGAAAGAGGAAAGAAAAAATGAGCAGGTAGATAAAAGGAGAGCAGTTGCATTCTTTTGAGACTTTGATCGGCTTTCACTGAATGCACATTTTACGTCTGAAAGGAGGAGGTAGAAGGCCAGTCAATTATGCATTTGTCTCAGTGAATCTGCAATTTTACATTAGATAAAGTAATCACAGGGGACAGGAAGCAGCCAAACATGCATTTGTCTCTAGTGAGTGGAGGGAGGATCTAGTCCTGTCTTTGTCCTTTACCTATGAAGATGAGCTGTGAATTCACGTTGTCAGGGTGAAATTCAACAGAACTGTTTTAGGCTAAAGATCTAGGGACCTACGTGGAATTTCTTCGTGGGCAAATCACGTGGAAGGTCCCCTAGGAGATTTATGGCCTTCTATCTTTGTAGCTATCTACTTAGGAACAGAAGGAAGGCAGTCTTTGCACGACTCAGTTCCCAAGCTTTTCCCTTTGACTTAACGAGTTTGGGGCCCTGAGATTTTTATTTTCCTTTCACAGAACAAAAAGGAGATGTAACCACCCTTACTTACAATGTCACTGAGGACTAGTCTGGATCAGTAAGCTAAATTTACAACTGCAGGTAGCTACAATGGAAATCTCTGTCTCAGGCTGGGCTCAGAGTACCAACAACCTAGGTTTCTAACCCTTGTAACCCACCTCTGACATATACATCCTAGTCTCTTCGTCCTGCTGCCCCATCAAGGCCTTTCAGCCAGATCTGAGATTGTGTCACAGATTCTGATTCTTGCATTAATCTCTGGTCATTTTTAGCAGCTCATTTGTTGACTCAGCTCCAGAGCCGCTCAGCCTCTGTCCTCACTCCCTCGTCTCATCCTCAGCCTGGGCGTTCCCCACCGTGGATGGCCTCAGCCTATGCTGTTTTCAGCTTCATTTCTCCAAGGTCAGTGTGATATTGTGAAGTATATGTTCAAACTCGTTTTTTGGCATACAACTCCTAAAATCCTTAAAGTCTCCAAAGTGATATCTTTTTATGCTAA